TTTTTTTTACAGACGCCTACAGATATTGACGGACGAAAACTCGGAATAAGATAGTCAAAGGTCAGTTCTTTCCGAATATGTAAACCATTTATTGCATTTCCATCTGGTAACGGCTGCACAAGGCCGTGAAGTTTGGTAATTCTGAGGTAAATTGAATGCAGCGCGACGTTTCTTATTTTTTCTTGCTCTTATTATCAACATATCGGCGGACGAAAACTCGGTTTATGATAGAGAAAAGTCCAAGCTTTCCAACCGTGGGTTAGTTTTTCGCTATCTTTCTAGATAACGAAGATATGGACCCTAGAAGTAGGTGGAAATATAAAGGAAAAAGTTTGTTGCTATCGTCTCGCCGGTAATTCTCGTTTCGTTAAAAAATCGGTTTTAATGGGAAATGTTTATTTTTCATTCGCGTTATGGCAGTAGTAAAGCAAACACAGGTGGCAACAAGAACAAGATGTTTCTAAACATCACAAAGAATTGGCTTAATTGGCCTTAATCGAAAATAAAATAAAAATAAAAATAAGCAAGGTTGAAACAAAAAGTGTTGACAAATTTATTACATAAGTTTTCAATTTTCAAAGAAACCGTTAACGATGGCAATCATTATTTCCTTTTTTATCTTTCTTCTGTACTCACCTTCAATGTTATCACCACAAAATTATTTTTAATGACACAAACAACCCAAAAAAACAATAATAATTATAATAATAAAATTTAAAAAGAAAATAAATAAGACTAAAAATAAATCACAATTATTGTTATATTTATAAATATTCGATTTTCCCCAAAGCAAAACCGATTGTGGTAAAGGCGCGATGAAAACTGCGTACCCTCAAAACCTTCATCGGCGTATTCAAGAAAATTTTGAAATGCGCGCTTGCGTGTTTCAGCTTTAAATGTATTTGTACTCGATTCGAGTGGCCCTTTCGACTTGGATAAATTCTTTGATTATACAAATACGCGAGTCTGTTTATAATATGGCATAATTCTGATTTATAAATTAATCAAAACAAATATTTTCATTGATCCGTTGTTACGTCAAACGACATTCGTATGAATTACACACGTTCGAATGTAACGTGTTTCAACGATTTGTATCATATAAATCTATTTTTAAAATCGCCACCCGGAAATTTAGATTTTACGCTTTCACACAAAATCGATGGAGTTTGGTAAACAAATTATAAACCGAATAAGTTGGAATAAAATTTAATTACAAGCCGATTTGGGACTATCGTTTGAGGAGTTTGAGGTGTTCACTAAATTTATTGCTAACTATTAGTGATCTATTCGAAATACATTAGGATGTATTAAGACGCCATTAAAATTGAAGGGTATTGCAAACAAATAAGGGCTATTTCTAAATATTGGGAGCTACTAAGAATAAGTGAAAGACATTTTTGTTAATCTGAGACTTCTTGGAAGAGATTAGGAAATCTTTAAAACCTAAATGTATTTGTAACTAGTAAAAATGAAAGCCATTATTAACTATTCGGTTATTATTACAAAATAATGGAAGTATTAATTAAAGAACTAATCATGTCATTAACACCAAAAAGTCTGTTTCATCAACCATTTACCTCGCTCAACTATAAAATTTGCAAGATTTACGCGGCTATATCTTTCGCGAACCTGTTAAACACTGCAGAAAAACCTGCAGACAAAAAACAATCAAAGTAGCGAATTATGCTTATGCTTTTTACATACCGCTACAGGATAATTATGTACCTAGAAGCTTTAAGAACTGTTAACTTCCCTTGAGCATGCAGTGATGACTTATTGTCGTTAAAAAAGCTTTCAAATCTGACAAAACCTTGAAACTCAAAATGAGTTAAATTATTTTGTAATTGATAATTTGATAATTTACAATTACATATATCACATTACAATACAATACATTTTATTTCCTATCTCACCCCTCCCCATCTCCTCCCCGCATCTCCCTACGCTGCCTTGTCGCCACCACCTCCCTCATCCATTCTCTTCTCTCTGCCCTCTCCCCCAGCACCTGCTTCCAGCCGATCACCTCCTCTCTTAGCTCGTCACACTCCCTCAGTAGGTGCTCCAACGACTCCCACTCCCCCCCACATAGCCTACANCCCCTAATAGGTAGTCAAAAAGTAACTCACCTCTTTCATTTGTGTTGGTGCTTGCCCACATTGTGTGGTGGGCATTGGCGTCACATCCAACAACAACTTGCAGGTTATTCCTCCTCTATTATGTCTCGCACAGCGGCCGGGGGAAGGTCATTTTCCGTTCCGGGGAAGTATGCCGAGCAGATGACAATTTCTGTCCAGCCCTTCTCACCTCGGATTCTCAAAACCGCAGCCACACAATCGCGGTCGCTATGCTCTGAGATTAAGAAAGCATTAATGTTGTTGCTGATAAGTAAACAAGCTCTGGGTCTATCTCCTGAGCAAAGTAACTTACCGAATAAATTACCGAGTCCGCTGATGCGCCCGGTATTGGCGAGCCATGGTTCCTGAATGAGGGCAATATCAATTCGCTCACTCATCCAGGTTCTGCTAAGGACAGCCGTAGCCGCCGTAGCGTGCTGCAGGTTTACCTGTAAACAGTTAATAGACTTATCCACTGAGCTGAGTATAGTTTCCCCTAGTTACCTCTCGCATGGGATGGAGCAGCCGTCCCACCGGCCCCTCTCATTCCAGCGCGCCCTCTCGAGCCTCGGGCAGGACTCGAGGACTTTCCTCTTTCTCCACTCTCCCGTGGTGCAGAACGAGCACCTGCACGACGCCCCCTGCTGGACACCCCGGCACGTGCGGATATCCCACCTCGGCCGGGTTTCACATCTGGCGATCTTTTCACGCGCTTTTCTTTTACACGGATTTCTAAGGAAAGTATCTACCGTGTAAAAAAAGAGTTATTTTATTATCAAAAATATGGTTTATATACCGATATACGGCGCGACCTGGTCCATATCAGAAATTTTATTAAAATAATCGATCTCAAATCACATTATAAACAAATATATAAAATATTTTTCGATAAAAACTGTTCACTGAGAAATTAGAATTCTATAGTGTCCGCCAAAAAGTCAGCAACACCCGTTTTCTTTGTTCCATGATGATTTTGAATCATATTAATTAATTAAGTTTATTGCTACCATATCAGCAATACATTCCACAAACAATTAAATTTTAACAATACTACAATTACATATATCACATTACAATACATTTTATTTCCTATCCTACCCCTCCCCATCTCCTTTCCGCATCTCCCTACGCTGCCTTGTCGCCCCCAGCACCTGCTTCCAGCCGATCACCTCCTCTCTTAGCTCGTCACACTCCCTCAGTAGGTGCTCCAACGACTCCCACTCCCCCCCACATAGCCTACAACCCCTCTCATCATCTCTCATCCAATACCTATTCGCTCTCTCCTCATCGCCGCATCTGAATCTTGCCACCATCCTCTTCCCCTCCTCATCCCCCTCCACCGACAGGTACTTCGGCAATCCCTCCGTTATTATTTCCTCGTACTTAGGGTTGTACCTGCTCTCCCTTATCTGCCCCCTTCTTTCTTGCCTCTGTACATCTCTATCCCTGCTCTCCAGCTCTTTCCACATCTCAATCCCTTCCCTCCTTCTATCATCTACCGCTTTCACTGAGTACCCCACCCTTCTGAAATATTCCTCCCTCCCTCGTTGCCCGTAACCCCCTTTCCCTGCCTTAATCTCTTTCCAGCACTCCCCCAAAATTTTACATTGAGACCTCCCTTCAACCCTCTCCTCAAAACGTACCGCCCTTTTACCCGCCTCCACTCTTAACTTATCAACCTTCACCTCTTCTCTGACTATGTACTCCGGCGTCTCTTTTGCCAACCCCAAAACCCATCTCCAATACCTAGCCTGTACGCCTTCCAACAGCCCTTGCTCTTTCCACCCCCAAAGCTCCGCCCCGTACATCATAACACTTCTAATCAAGCACTCGAATATCATCTTCCTTTTTCCTATATCCCTTCCAAATAATCTCTCTCCCCACCCCCAGACCTGCCCCATCACCTTATTCGCCTTCTTGGCCATTGCCCTCACATGCGCGCCTTCCTTGTTGTCCTCTCTAAATCTGTACCCCAAATATGTGTACTCCCTCACCTCCTCTATCTCCTTCCCTTCCCACCTCCAATCTTCGCTCTTCCTTCTACCCCCTTTACAGAACTTCATAACCTTTGTCTTTCCTACATTCACCTCCAGAGCCTTCCCCCTAAAGTAACTCTCCAAACTCCGCATCATCGCCTTCATCTCCTTCGCCTCTCTCGCCACTACCACCAAATCGTCCGCGTAAGCCAGTGAATGCACCTTCCTCCTCCCTACAACCACACCTCCCATCTGCCCACCGGTCAATCTGTCTTCCATGTCTGCGGTATACAAGACAAACAGAGCGGGACTGAGTGGACATCCCTGCCTCAAACCCCTCGTTGTCCAGAACCTATCCGTCAACTCGTCCCCCACCCTTACCCTAGCTATCGTCTCTGCGTATCTCTGCTCTTCCAGCTCTTTATCCACCAAGTGCTTCAATATGTACACGTTATCTATCGCGCCCCTTCCCTTTCTAAATCCTGCCTGTTCGTCCGGTAAGATCCCTTTCTCTTCCATCTCTTCCTCCAACCTCTGCAGCAGCACCTTCGCATATATCTTGTACGCCGAGTCCATTAAGCTAATTCCCCTATAACTTTCCACTACTCCCTTCACTCCCTTCTTGTACAAGGGGCTTATTATCGCCGTCCTCCATCCAATCGGAAACCCTTCCCCTTCCCAAACTTTGTTCAGCGCTTCCAACAACTTTCCCCTCACTTCTCCCGTTGCCTCCAGCCATGCCTCATTCTGGACCCCGTCCTCCCCTGGAGCCTTCCCCCTCTTTAGTCCCCCCAACGCCGCCTCCATTTGTTCCCCGGCCATCTCCTCTCCTCTCCTCTCCGTCCCCCTGTATCTACCTCCTCTACCCGCCTCTCCTCTTCCCCCTCCAGCAGACCCTTGAAGTAATCTCTCCACTCCGTCATTTGTATTTCACTGGTTATTTCCTCTCGTACTTTCCTTATTTTGTTTATATATTTCCAAACTTGAATCATATTATAATATATTTATAATTGCAGGAAAAATGTTTTAATTAAAGTAATAATTTGCTTTAACATTGCTGGGATATGATAGATGATGGAAAATAAAAGTTTAAATTTTATAATATAAAAGAAATTTATGTCGAACAATAATAACAATTTCATTAATGCTCCTTACTTAACCCTAAATTTATTTAAACCTTAACAATTTTCTTTACCATCAAATAACTACAACAAGAAAATAGCTACAAATCATTAATCAAAAAAAAAATTAGTTTTTATAATGAGTTTTTTTGGGTCAATACAAGACAAAATAAAAACAAAGAGTTAACTGTACGTACTTAAAATATAAGATAGATATCTTAACTAAAAAAAAAATTTATTATTATTTTTTTTAACTCTCGCTCCTTTGGCTTTGTTCAAGGGATGACTCCCCATCACGATTTTCTAGCTGCTTTTGCCACATATCCGCGTAAATACCTTCTTGACCAATTAAATGCTCATGTCTAAAAATAGAAAATTAACAAAATAAGCAAAACAAATATTTAAAATAATTTACCTTCCCCTCTCAACAATCTCCCCATCTTTTAACACTAAAATTTCGTCCGCATGGATAATCGTCGATAACCTATGCGCCACGATAATCGTGGTATGATCCGCGCACATCTTATTCAAAGACTCTTGAATGTTTCGTTCCGTTTGAGTGTCTAAAGCACTCGTTGCTTCATCCAATAAAATAATTTGGGGGGCTTTTAAAAGCGTTCTTGCAATCGCAACTCTTTGTTTTTCCCCGCCGCTCAATCGCAACCCTCTCTCCCCTACTTGGGTGTCATAACCATCGGTGAACGTTAATATTCGATCGTGGATATCAGCCCCGCGAGCTGCTTGGTAAATATCAGCATCCGGAGCGGTGATGCGCCCGTATTGAATGTTATATTTAATGGTGTTGTTGAAAAGCACGGTGTCTTGAGGGACCACCCCTATATTTCGACGCAACGATTCTTGGGTAACCGTTTTTATATTTTGGCCATCGAGGATTATCGAGCCGGTTTCGACGTCGTAAAAGCGGAATAACAACCGGATTATGGTGCTTTTCCCGCTACCCGAAGGACCAACCAAAGCGACGGTTTTTCCGGGGGGGACACTAAACGTGATATTTTTGAGAACGAGCTTTTCGGGCATATACCCAAAGCTAACGTTGTTGAATTCGATCGATCCGTGCTTTATAATCAAAGATCCCGCTCCCGGAGCGTCGATAACTTCTTGTTCTTCCTTCATTAAATCGAACATGTTCTCCATATCGACGAAATTCTTTTGGATCGCTCTGTAATACGTCCCGAACCAATTCAAAGGCACATAAAGCTGCACGATGTAACTCGCAAACAAGACGTAATCGCCCACTTGTAAGGTGTGCTCATCAACCACCATATGGACGCATAACAAACTTCCGGCCAACAAACCACCGCAAATTATTATGTTTTGTATCGTATTTAAAATGTTTAATGTTATGGTACTTTTCCATTCTTCAACCTCAACAAAAAAAATTATATATAGTCATTAATTAAAAAAATTTTGTTAATAAAAGTTGTTTGTAATCTCATTCTTAACAAATATTGTTTATAAAAAAATTAATGTTTCCGTCTCTTTACCTTTTGGGTTGTTTACATTAGTAACAACTGTATACAGGGTGTCTCACGTAACTGGTTCGTTAGAACTTTTTAAGGTTCCACCATTCGTAGTGGTTTGAAATTTTGGTAGCATGGGTTGTACATTCTAAACTTTCGATCTAAAATATTTTCAAGATGGCCACCCGTTCCGGTCTACCGGAAGTAGACCACAACTTCGTTATTTTAAATGGAATGCTATAGTTTTTATTACACCTTTCAATTATACGTAAAAAAATATGTTGACTTTGATAAAAGTTGTTGGTACCTAGCGTTTTTTGTTTTCGAGTTATTTTGATTTTAAGTGTTTTTTGACAAATTTCACCATGGTCTTTAAAAGCCCATATCTCAGCTAACGATTATTCAAAAAAGCTCTGTATTGGCACGACTACTCTACACATGCTGCCAAATAGATTGTCATTTGTTGTATCAGAGAATCTTATACAGGGTGGTCATGGGATATAACAACAACAATAACACAAATATGGACCAAAAACTGTCAAAATTCCATTGCCTTCTAATAAAAAAATCAAACGTTTTCCCGCATTCCGTGCATGCTTTGATTAATGTCCCAATATCAGGGAAACTACAATAAATAGGTATAGGAATGTTTATAGATAATTTGTAGAGAATTAAATTCCCTTTCTGATAGGGTAAAAAAATACGGGGTATTCCATTTAAAATTTTCGACTTTCTCGCAATTGAATATTGAGAAACGATAATTCAATTTTTGACCAGCCTGTATAATATTCTCTGATACAACAAATGACAATCTATTTGGCAGCATTTGTAGAGTAGTCGTGCCAATGCACAGTTTTTTTGAATAATCGTTAGCTGAGATATGGGCTTTTAAAGACCATGGTGAAATTTGTCAATGGCTAGAATATGGAGAAACGGTAATTCAATTTTTGACCAATTTTTGCTTTTTTTGGCAAATTTCACCATGCTCTTTAAAAGCCCATATCTCAGTTAACGTTCATTAAAAAAACCTCTAAATTGGCACGATTACTCTTCAGATGTTGTCAAATAGATTGTCATTTCTTGTATCAGAGTATCTTATACAGGGTGGTCATGGGATATAACAACAACAATAACACAAATATGGACCAAAAACTGTCAAAATTCCATTGCCTTCTAATAAAAAAATCAAACGTTTTCCCGCATTCCGTGCATGCTTTGATTAATGTCCCAATATCAGAGAAACTACAATAAATAAGTATAGGAATGTTTATAGATAATTTGTAGAGAATTAAATTCCCTTTCTGATAGGGTAAAAAAATACGGGGTATTCCATTTAAAATTTTCGACTTTCTCGCAATTGAATATTGAGAAACGATAATTCAATTTTTGACCAGCCTGTATAATATTCTCTGATACAACAAATGACAATCTATTTGGCAGCATTTGTAGAGTAGTCGTGCCAATGCACAGTTTTTTTGAATAATCGTTAGCTGAGATATGGGCTTTTAAAGACCATGGTGAAATTTGTCAATGGCTAGAATATGGAGAAACGGTAATTCAATTTTTGACCAATTTTTGCTTTTTTTGGCAAATTTCACCATGCTCTTTAAAAGCCCATATCTCAGTTAACGTTCATTAAAAAAACCTCTAAATTGGCACGATTACTCTTCAGATGTTGTCAAATAGATTGTCATTTCTTGTATCAGAGTATCTTATACAGGTGGTCAAAAATTGAATTACCGTTTCTCAATATTCAATGGCTAGAAAGTCGAAAATTTTAAATGGAATGCCCCGTATTTTTTTACCCTATCAGAAAGGGAATTTAATTCTCTACAAATTATCTATAAACATTCCTATACCTATTTATTGTATTTTCCCTGATATTGGGAAATTAATCAAAGCATGCACGGAATGCGGGAAAAGGTTTGATTTTTTTATTAGAAGGCCATGGAATTTTGACAGTTTTTGGTCCATAATTGTGTTATTGTTGTTGTTACTTACTTTTGATCACGAGTGAAAGTCATATTTTAAATTTGTTTTATATTCATGGCGAATGTAATAAATGTTTGGATAGGACGTGTCGAACATTTAATGAGAGATATCCAAACCTAACGCCTATCACAAAAAAAAATTTCGAAAAATTGAAAAGGGTTTTCTTAGTTCTACAAATATCGAAACAACAAGAAACCGTAAATTCCCTATCACCAGTGATGAAGATAATGAAATAAATGTCTTATCATATTTTATTGCTTACCCAAATTCTTCAGTAAGAGGTGCCTCGGTCGATTTAGGTAAGTAATATCTGCTAAGAAAACTTCCTTAATAAATAAAGTAAACTCTCTAGGAATATCTCGCCCATCATTGCATCGAATATTACGCCGATACAAAATACATCCTTATGCATACAATATCTTACAGGGCCTTTTACCAAAAGATTACATAAAACTACAGCAATTTTGCGAATTTATGTTAGTTAAAATTCAAGAAAATCCTTTATTTTTATCGCGACTTATTTGGACGGATGAATCAAAATTTTCGAGGGAGGGTATTGTTAATAGACAAAATTTACATATTTGGGCTGCCGAAAATCCTCATGCAGTCAGAGAGGCAAATTTTCAACAAAAATTTAGTTTCAATGTTTTGTTTTGTTAATGGGAAATCAACTTCGTTTTGAAATTTACGATGAAAATTTAAACAGTCAACGATACTTACAACTTTTAAGAGGTACAGTTACTGATTTTTGCGAAAGTTTGCCTCTTAACATATTTATAAATTGTTGGTATCAACTGGATGGCGCTCCAGTACACTCTTCAGGGCAAATTTACCAACAATTAAACAATTTGTTTGATGACCGGTGAAGTGGAAGAAATGGACCATGGCAATGGCCTCCACGATCTCCAGATTTAACACCATTGGATTTTTATTTGTGGGGTCACTTAAAAAATCAAGTGTACAATTCACCGGTCAACACACGACAAGAGTTGCGTGATAGAGTGGTGCGTGCACTACGTACTATTGATGGCGACCAACTTCTACGGGCCACAACCGTAGAAGTCGAAAGAAGAGTTGAAAAATGTTTAATGGTGCATGGTCAGCATATCGAACAGTTTTAATTTTTTTATAATTTTAAGTTTTTGTTTTTTTATATATTATTCATTCTAATTTCTGTTATTAAATTGTTGTTTTTCATTGTTTCATTTATTCGTTTTTCTGTTGGTTATTTTTGGTAAATAAAAGCGAGCAAGCTAAAGGTTATTCAACCATAGTTAATTGTAGAAATAATACCAATAATAATTTAAATAAATTAAACGATGAACTGTTAAAATGTCTTGGCCTGCTAACAAAAACACAAACGGGCTTTGGGGATTTTATGTCTGATTTTGATTAATTTTCCAATATCAGGGAAACTACAATAAATAGGTATAGAAATGTTTATAGATAATTTGTAGAGAATTAAATTCCCTTTCTGATAAGTAAAAAAATATGGGGTGTTCCATTTAAAATTTTCGACTTTCTCGCAATTGAATATTGAGAAACGATAATTCAATTTTTGACCAGCCTGTATAAGATTCTCTGATACAACAAATGACAATCTACTTGGCAGCATCTGTAGAGTATTCGTGCCAATGCAGAGCTTTTTTGAATGATCGTTAGCTGAGATATGGGCTTTTAAAGACCATGGTGAAATTTGTCAAAAAACACTTAAAATCAAAATAACTCGAAAACAAAAAACGCTAGGTACCAACAACTTTTATCAAAGTCAACATATTTTTTTACGTATAATTGAAAGGTGTAATAAAAACTATAGCATTCCATTTAAAATAACGAAGTTGTGGTCTACTTCCGGTAGACCGGAAGGGGTGGCCATCTTGAAAATATTTTAGATCGAAAGTTTAGAATGAACAACCCTTGCTACCAAAATTTCAAACCACTACGGATAGTGGAACCTTAAAAAGTTCTAACGAACCAGTTACGTGAAACACCCTGTATACTAGGAAATAATAGTATACAGCGCCACCTGGTGGAAATATCAAAATATTTTATTAAGATAGTCGATTTCTAATCACGTTATAAAGAAATATTGTACGAAAAATTTTTTTATTAAAGTAAATTTTTGGTTTGAAATTGATTTGATATAAAAACATACTGTTCAGAGAGAAATTAAAACTTTGATTTATCGTAGAATGTTACTAATGAAAGTTGTTTTAAATATAATTCTAAATAAATATTGTTTATAAAAAAATTCGATACGACCAATAATTATTGGGATAATCTCAAAGATATTGATTTATATACCATATACCAGTATACAGCGCCACTTAGTGGATATATCAAATTTTTTTGTTAAGATAATTGATTTTTAATTATTTTATAAACAAATATTGTACGAAAATTTTTTTGATTAAAGTGATATTTTGCTTTGAAATTGATTTGATATAAAAACGTACTATTCAGAGGGAAATTAAAACTTTGTTTTATTGTAGAATGTTACTAATGAAAGTTGTTTGAAATGTAATTCTAAATAAATATTGTTTATAAAAAAATTCGATACGACCAATAATTATTGAGATAATCTCAAAAATATTGATTTATATACTAAAGTCCCTAGATTTACAAAGTACCGCGCTTTGCCGCCATTTTGGCTCGAAAGTCAAGCGGGAAATTTAAAACTATCGTTGATCTATTGATAACATTACAGCAAAATTCCTTTCTTTTTTTGTCGTGGTACTCTGAAGAGTCGAAAGCCCTTCTTACTGCTATTTTTGCAACTCCAAAGGCAACAAGACGGTAATATTTTTGTAAATAAGTGGTGAGATGTAATGACGAGCTGTCAAACCGCCATTTTGGCTCGAAAACAGGCGTCATGAACCGCGGTACTTTGTAAATCTAGGGACTTTATTATACAGGGGGTGTCTCAGCGAGACCGGTCATTAGACGTTTCTGGGGTTCTGGCGAAAATAAAAATTTGAGAATTCAGACTTAAGTGTTATCAATTACGATCTCTTCGTCTAAAATATTTTCAGATTTCTTGCACTTCCGGTTATACCGGAAGTCGCCACCTACTTTATTTTTTTAAATGGAACACCCTGTATATTTTTACATATTTGGATTTGTCTGTTTTCAAGGTTTATAAATAACTTTACTTTTTGCAATTTGATTCGGTCGTTCTCGAGTTATTCGAATTTTTCTAGAAAAATCTGCTCCAGCAGACATTTGTTCAAAAAATCAGAAAACACTCAATTTTTGGGATATCAATTTAGGATTGAGAACATGCTTAAGCAACATGATGGAGTATGTTTTGGTGCCGAGAACTGCGGTCTAGAACGTTTGATCACTTTACTATGGCACGTTAACTTTTCAAAATTTGGAAGTACCATAACTTCATTTTTTTAAATGGCACCCCCCATATTTTATTTTTTAGTCGTCTTCGGTGTCTCATTCTACATCTTTTATATCCCATATGACCCATACCTAATATTAATAGTTTGGGAGATAATTAGGGTTTTTTGAAAAATGCACACATATCATATGGATATTTAGCCTAGTGTGCCATGAAAAACAAGCCTTCTCAATGAGTTCTTGTCAAAGACTCACTTGTTTACGTCACTTGATGCATGTGAGCTAATAATTATCTGTTATGTCCCTTAATATTAGTACTGAAACGAGTTAAAATCGATAACAATAACGAAAGTAATATTTACACAAATCAAGAAATTCTTAATTTATTTTTTTTGCATGAAAAGCGCGACAAAGTTCGTAGTATGATTCCCAGATCTTCTTTGGCAGCTCGAATTGAGGTGTTGGGACTGGGCTCGAAATAAGCCAAGGTATTCACCTCTTCCGTTGCATTATCTACTACATTTTTTGGTCAGTTTAACACGTGATTAATTCGTCCAAAATGCAAAAAATTTGCTTCTATTCCTCTAAATTTACCTTTTGTCATCGGAGATAAATGTGGATAATTTTCATTAAACATTCTGCAAGTTCTACTAAGAACTTTGTCGCACTTTTCGTGCACAAAAAATAAATTATGGATTTCTTCATTTGTATAAACATTATTTACGTTATTAATATCCATTTTAACTGGTTTTAGACTCACAAGCATCAAACAACCTAAATTAGACTTTGACGTTTATCAATAAGTCATTAAACATTTGTTTTCCATGGCACACTAGGTTAATATCCATATGATATGTGAGCATTTTTCAAAAAACCCTAATTATTTCTCAAACTATTAATGTTAGGCATAGGACATATGGAATATAAAAGATGTAAAATGAGACGCCGAAGACGACTAAGTAATAAAATATGGGGGGTGCCATTTAAAAAAATGAAGTTATGGTGCTTCCAAATTTCGAAAAGTTAACGTATCATAGTAAAGTGACCAAACGATCTAGACAGCCGTTCTCGGCACCAAAACATACTCCATCATGTTGTTTAAGCATGTTCTGAATCCTAAATTGATATCTCAAAAATTGAGTGTTCTATGATTTTTTGAACAAATGTCCGCTGGAGCAAATTTTTCTAGAAAAATTCGAATAACTCGAGAATTGCTGGTTCAAATTGCAAAAAGTAAAGTTATTTATAAACCTTCAAAACAGACAAATCCAAATATGTAAAAATATACAGGGTGTTCCATTTAAAAAAATAAAGTAGGTGGCGACTTCCGGTATAACCGGAAGTGCTAGAAATCTGAAAATATTTTAGATGAAGAGAATGTAATTGATAATACTTAAGTCTGCATTCTCAAATTTTTTGTTTGGCCAGAACCCCAGAAACGTCTAATGACCGGTCTCGCTGAGACACCTGTATACCAGTATACAGCGCCACCTAGTGGATATATCGACATTTTTTGTTAAGATAATCGATTTTTAATTATTTTATAAACAACTATTGTACGAAAAATTTTTTGATTAATATGGTATTTTGGTTTGAAATTGATTTGACATAAAAGCGTACTGTTCAGAGGGAAATTAAAACTTTGATTTATCGTAGAATGTTACTAATGAAAGTTGTTTTAAATGAAATTCCAAATAAATATTGTTTATAAAAAAATTCGATGCGACCAATAATTATTGAGATAATCTCAAAAATATCGATTTATATATCAGTATACAGCGCCACCTAGTGGATATATCAAAATCTTTTGTTAAGATAATCGATTTTTAATTACTTTATAAACAAATATTGTACGAAAAATTTTTTGATTAAAGTGATATTTTGCTTTGAAATTGATTTGATATAAAAACGTACTATTCAGAGGGAAATTAAAATTTTGTTTTATCGCAAAATGTCATCAATAAAAATTGTTTCTAATCTAATTCTCAACAAATAATGTTTATAAAAAAATTCGATACGATCACCAATTATTAAGATATCCTCAAAAATGTGATATATATACAATTTAATTTTAAATAATTACCTGAAAAGTTTTAATCGCTTCCCTAAACGCATCAACTTCATACTGTTCAGCGCCATAATACTTAACAGTTTCAAAATTCAACAAAGAATCAACACTTCGAGCCCTCGTTGCATTATCGGCCAAATTCATTCGCCTCTGATACTTCGTTCTCCACTCCGTGATAACAATCGTTAAAAGAATATACAACCCCATCGTTGTAAACACAATCAATCCGAACCAAACGTTAAAAGCGACGACAAAGAACGCGACGGCGATGATAATGTCGATAATCGTTGGGGTGATCGAGAATAAGATGTAATTTAAGAGGTTATTAATGCTGTCGGTGCCTCGATCCATGATTCTTAAAACTTCGCCGGTTTTTCGGGAGAGGTGCCAACGTAGGGATAGGCTGTGGAGGTGGCGGAAGAGTTCGACTTCGATTTCGCGTGTGGTGTACTGTTGGATTTTTATCCATAAGAATGTGCGGAGGTTGTTTAGGAAGCCCATTCCGCCGGTACCGCCGCCTTGGAGGAATTTGAAGCCGACGTAGATTAGAACGAAATCCCAACGGAAAGTTACTGGTACCACAGTCATACTATCAACTAAAAAAATAAATTAATTTGAGTGAGAAAAAAAAATTTTAATGTAAGTAAATTATGGTTTATGTTGGACATTTTTAATATAACACTTTAACTACCGGGATTTTAAATAATCACCACAACGAAATAAAACTACACGATACTGCCTATAAAAGGCTACATAATATATTGCTTAACACTTTGTGTCCCGACAGTACTTTAAAGTACCGGTAGTTTCAAACACTCATTTTAAATCATTTTAAAAAGAAAGCATTGAGCTTTAATTTACATTAAGTCTCATTCCTTAATTTCAATAAATACGGCTTTCAAGAATTTTTAAATAAGCATCTTTTTTGACACTTTTAGGTTATACGAAAATGTAAGTTTTATTTCAACATTTTTTTTCTCAATATTTTTCCAGTACAACCCAACGATTATTATACATCATTTTAAAAAGAAAGCTTTGAGCTTTAATTTAAAATATGTTTCATTCCTTAATTTCAATAAACACAACTTCCAGGAATTTTTAAATTAGCATCTTTTTTGACACTTTTAGGTTATACGAAAATGTAAGTTTTATTTCAACATTTTTTTTATCAATATTTTTCCAATCCAACCCAACGATTATTATACATCATTTTAAAGAGAAAGCTTTGAGCTTTAATTTAAAATAAGTTGCATTCCTCAATTTCAATAAATACGGCTTTCAGGAATTTTTAAATTAGCATCTTTTTTGACACTTTTAGGTTTTCGAAAATGTAAGTTTTATTTCAAGATTTTTTTTCTCAATATTTTTCCAATCCAACCCAACGATTATTATACATCAGTTTAAAGAGAAAGCTTTGAGCTTTAATTTAAAATAAGTTGCATTCCTCAATTTCAATAAATACGGCTTTCAGGAATTTTTAAATTAGCATCTTTTTTGACACTTTTAGGTTTTCGAAAATGTAAGTTTTATTTCAAGATTTTTTTTCTCAATATTTTTCCAATCCAACCCAACGATTATTATACATCAGTTTAAAGAGAAAGCTTTGAGCTTTAATTTCAAATAAGTTGCATTCCTTAGGTCCATTACTACCATCTTTTAGATAAATTTATCTTATAGATAAACCCATTTACTAGCCAATCAGAACGCGTAAATAGCCGTAACCATAGTAATAATCCCTTAGATAGTTTAGCCAGAACATGGTAGTAACGAGCCTTAATTTCAATAAACACATCCTCCAGGAATGTTTAAATTTGCATTTTTTGACATTTTTAGGTTATACGAAAATGTAAGTTTAATTTCAACATTTTTTTTCTCCACATTTTTGTGATCCAACACAATCATTATTATACATCATTTTAAAGAGAAAGCATTGAGCTTTAATTTACATTGAGTCTTATTCCTTAATTTCNTATAGAAGTCTATATACTGCTTGAAATAGTCTAGAAACTGCAGGCAGAAGATTAAATGTATTTGGCAGAAGATAGATACTGCCTATAGAAGTCTATATATTGCTTGAAATAGTCTAGAACGTGTTGGCAGAAGATAAATAATACCTATACAAGGCTATATACTGCTTGAAATAGTCTACACACTGGTGGCAGAAGACAGATACTGCCTATAAAAATCTATACTCTGCTTGAAATAGTCTAAAAACTATTGGCATAAGATAGATACTACCTATATATTGCTTGAAATAGTCTAGAAACTGGTCGAAGAAGATTAAATATTGTTTACAGAAGATTGATACTGCCTATAGAAGTCTATATACTGCTTGAAATAGTCTAGAAACTGCAGGCAGAAGATTAAATGTATTTGGCAGAAGATAGATACTGAATATAGAAGTCTATATATTGCTTGAAATAGTCTAGAAAGTGTTGGCAGAAGATAGATAATACCTATACAAGGCTATATACTGCTTGAAATAGTGTACACACTGGTGGCAGAAGACAGATGCTCCCTGTAGAAGTCTTTATACTGCTTGAAATAGTCTAGACACTGGTGGCAGAAGACAGATACTGCCTATAAAAATCTATACTCTGCTTGAAATAGTCTAAAAACTGTTGGCATAAGATAGATACTACCTATATATTGCTTGAAATAGTCTAGAAACTGGTCGAAGAAGATTAAATATTGTTTACAGAAGATTGATACTGCCTATAGAAGTCTATATACTGCTTGAAATAGTCTAGAAACTGCAGGCAGAAGATTAAATGTATTTGGCAGAAGATAGATACTGCCTATACAAGGCTATATACTGCTTGAAATAGTCTACACACTGGTGGCAGAAGACAGATACTGCCTGTAAAAATCTATACTCTGCTTGAAATAGTCTAAAAACTGTTGGCATAAGATAGATACTACCTATATATTGCTTGAAATAGTCTAGAAACTGGTCGAAGATTAAATATTGTTTACAGAAGATTGATACTGCCTATAGAAGTTTATATACTGCTTGAAATAGTCTAGAAACTGCAGGCAGAAGATTAAATGTATTTGGCAGAAGATAGATACTGCCTATAGAAGTTTATATATTGCTTGAAATAGTCTGGAAACTGTTAGCAAAAGACAGATGCTGCTATTAGAAGTTTATATATTGCTTGAAATAGTCTAGAAACTGATGAAATAAACTTATGAATTAATTTTTTCTATGATTAATCAGCATAGAGTACCAATATTAAAATTAATCTAAACCATATAAACCATAATCCACCCTTACTCTTCACTACCACCAACTTACCAATAAATTTCGAATAAATCGGAACATACAAATTAATAACTCGTCCTCCCGCCAACAACAAAAAACAAAAAATCACCCGAAACTGCAAACAACAATCCTTTTTCGGCCACAAAAACGGCGCCAAGGTGCACATCTTCTTCCAAAAGTTCTTCCATGTCGATTGATTATCATTCCGCTGCTGGAAATCGCCACGCAAACCAAAAACAAACAAAAAAAAAATTAAATCAGTTTAAATCAACCAAAAATAATTAATTACTTTCGCCAATTTCGTTCTGGTCTTTGCAAACATTCTATTTTAAGTTGCCAAAAAGCAAAAATCAAAGCAAACCATTCACCTTGATGATGACGTTCAGGGTGACGTTCAGTTTGCTCAGCTTGATGCAGCCGGTCGTTCTCGGTCGAATCGGGACGTACTTATCGTATAGCGTAGCTCGTTTTCGGGTCATTTTGTTTTAATCAAATTTGAATGTAACCATTTGGAAGGGTACTTTAAATTTCGATTCGATTCGATTTTGACCACCAAAATTACGTCAAAACGTTGACACTTAATTTAGAAAAAAAATAATTTTGACTCACCGCTCCCGTTAGGTTCCTCGTTGAATCGTTCAAACTGAAATAATCGACCGTTTGCATAATTCCCGGTGCTTTTAACCCGAGTACAAAAAGGATGAGGCAGGAGAGATATCGTAGGATGAAAAGAACCATCTCAAGGTGATCTGAAAGACTTTAAAACGCACAAAATTAGATGATTTAGGTATAATTCAAGAATCATGTTGCTTAAAAATCGACAATTTTTTTTAATCAATAGATATCACTCAAGTAAGCAGTTACAAATACAAATAAAGTGTAAAATTTACCGAAAAATCACTTTAAAGTTTCTTCTAAGTTCTAGGTCTAGTGTTAGTTCTAGTTTTAAATGTTATTTAGTGTTATATTGTGAAATATTTTTATTGAAAGAAAAATAGAATTAACACTAGACCTAGAACCACAAACATTCGGGTTTAGTCGTACGTCTCTTAAGACGGCTAAACCTGAATGTTTCTAGTTTTAGGTCTAATGTTAGTTATAGTGATAGTGGTAGGTGGCGCTAATTAGCATAAGAAATCACTATATTGCATATTTTTATTACACTAAAACTAGAACTAACACTAGACCTAGAACCAGAAATATTCTAAAGACGCACGACTAAACCCAATATTTTCTAGTTCTAAGTCTAGTATTAGTTCTAGTTTTACACTAGCGCTATCACTAGAATTAACACACGACTTAGAGCTAGAATCATTCGAGTTTAGCCGTCTTGAGAGACGTGTGGCTAAACCCGATACTTTCTAGTTCTAGGTCTAGTGTTAGTTCTAGTTTTACACTAGCATTATCACTAGAGGTAACACTGTTGCATATTAGGTTGGCAATACCAACCAGTGTGAAGTACAACACAAGATGTAAGAAAAAGAATGACAAGTTAAGTCAAATGATTACGAACACTGTACCTAAAATAAAATAATTCTAGTTTTGTTCAATAAAGTAGTAGTGAAAATCAAGACTTTTATTGACAGAACACAACATGGCGCAGTCACTAGGATCATGTGAATTTAAGGACGCAGATGAAATGATACGTGACAAAATCGTATTAAATATAACTGATAAAGGTCTTCAAGAAAAGCTATTAAATCAAGAAAATTTAACGTTAAATCAGTGTGAACAGGTTTTTCGAGTTCAAGAAGTAATGAAAGTTCAAGATAAAAATCTGCAAGAGAATTTAACAATAAACGCAATTAGAGGAATAAACAAAAATGATAAGCACGAAAATAAAGAAGAAATTGGAAAACCATTCTATTATAGAAGGTGTAAGCAAAAGTATTTACTAAAGAGATGCCCAACATTTGGAAAAGAATGTCAAAAGAATGTTCATCCAAGTTGAAAGCACCGACATCAACTTTAAACAGGATTCTGGAGCAGAAGTGAGCATTCTGACGGAAGGAGAATTTGAGACTATTAAGAAACAAAAGCCATGCCTGAAAGACAAATTAAAGGAGACCAACATTATGCTTGAAGCTTATGGTGGAGCTAAATTTGATGGAGCTGTTGGGTAGAGTAACATTAAATTGTAAAATTAAAAATAAGGTAATAAAAATAGATTTCTTGATAGTTAATAGTTCAAAGTCACTATGAGGGTTAAAGGATTGTGCTAGATTCGAATTGATTAAAAGAGTTGATCAAGTTAATAGTGTAGATGATTTTGTTAATAAAAATAGAATAGTCTTTAACAGACAAGGTGCTTTTAATGAGACATGTAATACGCCGCCTAATAGAGTACCGTTGGCTATTCAAGAAAAACTCAAAAGAAAATTAAACGATTTAGAAGAGAGGAACATTATTTTAAAATTGGAGAGACTTGCATAATTTAGTAATAATAGAGAAAAAAGATTGTCTAGATCTTCAAGAATTAAATAAAGTAATACAAAAAGAATATTATCTAATACCAACTGTAGAAGAAATAGCGATAAAGTTAAAAGGAAAATCGGTTTATACGGTTTTAGATTTGAAAGAGTGATTTTATCAAATAAAATTAAATGAGGCTTCTAGTAAATTGTGCTCTTTCAGTAACCCTTTTAGTTCCTACAAATTTAATAGATTACCGTTTAGTTCGTCCTTAGCATCGGAACTTTTTCAGAAAATAAATCACAAAAATTTTGGGGATATCAAGGTGTTATGATATACAGGGTGTATCTGAATGACTGCAACAAACTTCAAGAGGTGATTCTTTAGTGAATTTTAAGGGTACTTTAATATATGAACCATGGCCTACTTCGGCTCCCTTAAGGAACTTCGCCCCTCCAAAAATGGCGAAAAATTTTGGTTGAATTTTTTTTTCGAGAACTATAGACATCAGAAAAATGAAATTTGGGGAATAAGTTTAGCTCATAATAGGGCACGTTTATAGCTTATTTGTACTTTCAATATTCCCTTTCTAAGTTACTAAACCTAACCACTCCCGTTCAATTTATGCCTAAATTTTTTGAGAAAAAATTATTGAAGCAAACACTAACTGTTAAGCTGTAGGGTTATTAATCGAAAGTTGGAATGAATTTCTAATGAAAAAATCTCAGTCAGCTTTGCAATCTTTGTCAAAAATATAACTATATACAGGCTGTATCTGAATGACGTGCCCAAACTTCAGGGGATAATTCTTTAGGCAATTTTAAGGGTACTTTCTCATATAAACTATCAGCGATTTCGACTCCTCTGCGGAGCTACGCCCCTTCAAAAATAGCGAAAAATTTTGGTTTATTTTATTTTTCCCGAAAACCATTAACACCAAGAAAATGAAATTTGGGAAATATGTTTAGCTTATAATAGGGCATGTTTCGAGCCTATTTGTACTTTCAATCTTCCCTTCTAAGTTACTAAACATAACCACCCCCGTTCAATTTTTGTCTAGATCTTTTTTATGACGATGATAAATACATTGGAAATATTTTATTTAGATAGACGAGAATATTCTAAAACTTTTTTGCCTCTCTGATGTTCTTCGAAAAGTTAATAGTTTCTGAGAAAAAAATTAATTAAGCAAACACTAACTGTTAAGCTGTACCGTTGTTAATCGAAAGTTGGAATGAATTTTTAAAGAAAAAATCTTAGCAGGCTTAGCAATCTTTGTCAGAAATATTTTTGACGTTTAAATGTCAGTGGTTTTCTTACTATTATTATTGTTTTATTTAAAATTTTGAAACGTCGAGTGAACGAGCGTAAATGCGGTAGAACTTTATTTGAAAAACAATAATAATAGTAAGAAAACCACTGACATTTAAACGTCAAAAATATTTCTGACAAAGATTGCAAAGCCTACTAAGATTTTTTCATTAAAAATTCATTCCAACTTTTGATCGACAACCCCGTTGTTTAACGGGCAGTGTTTGCTTTATTATTTTTTTTCTCAAAAATTAGTCGTTTTTGGAAAAGTTTTAGAGAGACAAAAAAGTTTCAGGATACTTTCATCTACCTATGTAATTTTTTTTTAATGTATTTACCCTCTGCATAAAAAAATTTTAGCAAAAATGTAAAGGGGGTGGTTACGTTTAGTAGTTTAGAAGGGTAGGTTGAAAGTACAAATAGGGTGAAAACGTGCCCTACTACCAGTTAAACTGTAATGGAAAGTAAAGTATTTGTAGTTGGCGAATATTGCACAATAATTAATCAAGTCAATAAACTCAAAAAAACGCACGAGTAGGCACACTTGTGCGAGGAGTGCGATATTCGCTAATTCAACAAATAAATTGTGATTGTTATATTGGTAATGAGAAGTAAGCTAAACTTAGACCTGTAATGTAGTCGTCGTAAGAATAAATAAAGAAAAAACTTATTTTAAATAAATTACACTCCAAACCCAAAAAGAAATCATACAGAAATGAAAAGAACAGTATAAACATTACAAAACATATTCCCCAAATTTCGTTGTCCTAGCGTTTATGGTTTTTGAGAAAAACAAATTAAACCAAAATTTTCCGCCATTTTTGGAGGGATGTAGCCCAAGTCGCCCATGGTTTATATATCAAAGTACCCTCAAAATTGCCTCAAGAATCACCCCTTGAAGTTTGTTGCAGTCATTAAGACACATCATACAGGATGTACATACAACTGAATGACTGTATCTGTATGTCATTCAGATACAGCCTGTATATCGATGACATTATAATAGCTGCTAATGATGAAGAAGAGCATGATAAAATTTTACAGAAGTTTATTAACAGAGCAAAATCTTTAAATATTAAATTTAAAAAGAATAAAATACAATTCAAGGTTAACATGGTAAAGTACTTGGGACATATATTTAGTAAGACGAATATTAATGGATCATAAACCCCTCATTGCTGTAATGAGCAAAGAAACATCAAAAATTGATAATACTAGTTTGCAGAGAATAAAAATGAAATTGACTAAATACGATTTCAATTTGATGTTACTTCAGGCAAAGAAATGTATATCGCGGTTTTTTTATCAAGGAATTTTGATAGGAATAACGTAAAAAATGATGAGTTTGAACTGGCAGAACTGTATAAAATGAAACGAGCCTTAAAATCAACATCATCATCCATTATCTCTTGTAATAACACAAAATTTTCAAAAATATTATTGTTGGCGATAGTTTTAGGTTATGCTGAACAGCTAATTCTCAATTGCTTGTTCAGCCGATTTCGTTCCGCTGTATTAAAGCTCATACAACTAGCTGACTGATTTAATTCAACTGTTGACACCTGCTGAACGTACCCAATGTTTTTCATC